TGGGTCAAGTTGCTTACTCACTCTAGGTCTCCGTTTCCTCCTCTGCAAAATGGAATAAAGGCTTCTACATCTCAGCTTTAGCTAAAAGGCTTGTTATACAAGAATATAAGCTCTTCCCTCGTTAACTCTGAGGCCCTACCCAGAGGGAAACAGACTTCCTCTGTAGTAGGAAGAATTGGAGTTAGAGTCCCCACCCCTGAAGCTTGCAAAAATGGGAAGACCCTGGGATAGGCCACCAAGAAAGGTTATGGATTCTTTTTTTTTTTTGTCTTTTTCCGTGTCTGGCAACGGGATCGCAACCCTCGGCGTTGCCCCCGCGCCTCGAGTGGGAAGACCCTGGGATAGGCCACCAAGAAAGGTTATGGATTCTTTTTTTTTTGTCTTTTTCCGTGTCCGGCAACGGGATCACCGGCGTTGCCCCCGCGCCTCGCTCAGCCAGTGAGCGGGAACCGGTCCGTATGCGGGATCCGAACCCTCGGGCAGGAGCACCGCCGTGCTTCCCAAGCGGCGCACTATCCAGTGTGCCACCGGGCCGGCCCAGGTTATGGATTCTTAATAACTAGAGATGATTCAAAATTGGCCCATGTCTCTAGGCTGGTGAATAGATGCCTCCTGAAGGCTCTTGTCATCCAGAAGAATCTGAGCTATCCCTGGCTGCTGGTGAGAGCTGGGGTCAAGGCAGATGGATTGGGGGAGCAAAAAGCTTACCCTAAACTTGCCAGCTCCATACGTATCTCATCACCCAAGATCTATTGCTGAGCACTCTAGGGGGGCATACAGATGAAACCTGGGCAGGAGTGCCTTTTCCTGTGGGGCTTGTTAGCACTTGGTGAAGCTGTGTTCCCTCAGAGGCCCCCAGGGGCACATTTGTTTGTTAAGTGATTGTCCCTGACCTAGCCCTGACCCCAGGCTGCAGACTCCTGGGTCTGCCTTGCCCTAGAGGACAGGGAAGAAGTAAGATGGCCCCAGGGCCACAGGCTGCTGGACACATGCCTCCTATCTTAAGCCAGGGGCCAGGTGAGAGGAAAGCAGGTCTGAGCTAGAACCACACCTCATTCCTAAAACACCCATGGTTTTGAAGCCACAGAGGGATCCCTCCCTCACCCACAACCCAAAACACAGCTCTTTTACCTTTTTTTTCCTTTAAGCATTCATTCATTCAAGAAATACTTATTGCAGGACACTGTGATACCCACTAGGGACATAGTGGGGATTTAAAAAAAAAAAGAAATAGGAGGGGAGATGAGATTCAACGTGAAATTACATAGTGGCAAGTTTTATGGAAGTACTGAATAAGAGAATATGACCTGGTCTTTCTCCCCAAGGAAGTACCTCTTGAGCTCAGACTAAAAGATAAATAGAGGATGAGCAGACCAAACTGCAAGTGCAAGGGGGTATAGGCCAGGCAGAGTGAACAGCCCGTGCAGGAGCCACAGGGGAGGACCCATGGCTGGTGGGCAGAGGGCTTGGGAGTATGGGACAAACACAGGCTGGGAATGCAGGTAGGGCTGAACCATGAAGGGGCCTGTAGGAAAACTTAATGCTTTAAGTTTTTATTTTAATAGCAAAGGGAAACCACTGTCATACGAGGGTAACATGGTCAAATTTGCACTTTGAAAAGATCACACCAGCCACAGTGCAGAAAACAGACTGGAGAGATCAAGGGTGGATGTGCCAAGGCCAGTTGAGAAGCTGTTGTAATATTCCAAGGTGGGATAATGACAGCTTGGCCTAGGGGTGGCAAAGGAGATGGCAACAAATGAATACACTCAAGAGACTTTTAAGGAGGTTAATTGGGCATGACTTACTGATGCACTGGATAAAGATGTGAAGAAAAGGAAGGTGTTAGGGTGTCTCTGAAGTTGGTGACATATAGAAGAGATGATGGTGACATCATTCACTAATATAGAGAAACTAGAAGACGACCAGATGGGCAGGACTGTGTAAGGTCATCTCTGGACATTCTGAATTTGAGGTATCGGAGGAAAGGGCTTAAAGCTCAGGAGTCATCAGTACAAAGGTGAGATGGCTTAGGGAGAGAGGGTGGCGCAAGAGGAAGAGGGCCAAAGGCCACGCGTGAGGAGTGAGCCTGCACAGGAGACAGGGAAGGTATGACCTGAGAAGTCAAGCAAGATGAGGACTGACTCGACAAATATCACTGGCATTTGATGACATGAAATCATTGGTAAGTATAGTAAGGGCATTTTTATAGTGGAGAGATAGAGACGAACCCAGTTTTAGAATGGATTGAGGAATGAGTGGGAGGTGAAGAAATGGAGACAGCTGGGCTGAGAACTTGGGCTGTTAAGGAAGAGGAGAGAGGGCAGCTGGAGGTGGATGTGAGATTCAGGAAGTTCTTTGTTGTTTTGTTTTAACGAATAGACTCAAGCATTTGTAAATGCCAGTAAGAAGAATCCAGATTTGGTGGTGTTGGGGGTGGGGTGGGCTGGCACAATGGTTGAATCTACCTGAGGGAAAAGGGATAATTAATGGGGTAGGGCACCTGAGACGGGAGGAGGGAGCTGGCTCCCAAGCCCAGATGGCAGCTTTGCCAGAGCCAGAGGATAGAGAGCAGAGACAAAGGGTGGGCTGGGAGAGCTGCAGGCAACGGGCCACCGATTGGTTGTAAGAGATGAGGGTGGTGTTCTCTGCACTAAGAGGCAAGGCCACCTGCTGAAGAGGCTCCGCAGTGTCAACCCTTCTGCACTGTTCCCCTCTTTCAGCTGCCCCAACTGCCCTACTTCACAGTGAGTGCGGGGGCTCAGCTTGCTTTGCCTCAGGCCCCTGCCCTGTAAGAGCAGAAGGGAAGGGACAGAGGCTGCCAGGCTTGCCCAGGGGGTTCAAACAGAGATGCTGAAGGACAGGTCTCGGAGTTAGTTCTCTCAGGCAGGATCACATTGCAGAGTACAAACAGCGGGTCATTTGCCCAGGAGGGAATCTCAAGTCTTTATTTTAGTCTCCCATTTTTTTGTGGAGGGTGGAGACAGGGAGGCAGAGGGCAGTGGGGGGTCTCAAATCCTGATCTGGGGTCAGTGAGGGGTGGTTCCTTCCTGGGCTTGGCCCCCTTTGAAGTGCAGGGGGAGAGCTTCCTCAGGAGGAGGAGAAAGTGCCCAGGGCCTCCTGGCTGGGGAAGAAGCACCCTGCAGAGAACCCCCTCCACCCCCACAGGAGAGAAGAGGAGTAGGGAAATAGAGAGGGATCTGGGACAGCAGGAGCCCCCAGATAAAAGCTCCATTCCAGTATAAGCCATATTCCCAGAGCCAGCCAGGCACACACATTCCAAGTAGTTCTTCTCTTGCACAGGCTACAGGGATCGTGTTTCTTGGGGTCCAGTGATATTAGGGAGCTCTGTAAATATGAGGCCAACCCCTGTGCTGGGAGCTGAGTCCTGGGAGGTGGGGGAGGGGCATCCTGGGGAAAGGGGGGAAGAAGGCTTTTTAATCATTAACGTGGTTGATTGAAATGTGCACTACTGAGCCTCTTGGCTCTATTGATTTTCTCTAAAAGCACAGCATCTGGATCTGGTGGCTGCCCAGAGACCAGGGAGAGAGACGGGGTAGAGGTAGGGAAAGAGAGGGCAGGGAAGAAAATGGGAAGCAGGCCAGGAGTGGGGGCTGGGAAGGAGGGAGAAGGCAGGGTCAGAGGGCCAGGAAGGCAGTGGAGAGAAGTCTTTGGGGACATGAGGCAGCCAGGAAGCCTAAGCAGGCATTGAAGGACGGCACAGTCACACAGTCACAGAGGCGCCACCAAGGAAGAAGGAGCCAGGGAGAGGATCTGGCAGAAAGGATGAAATGGAAGGCCAGAGCATAGTGACCTGCTCAAGGTGACAAAGTCAGAGCCTGCACCAAAACCGAGGTCAGCCGACTTCACTACACTGAGGAGTGAGGGTACAGAAATGGAAGCCCTTGAGGACAGGAGAAGCTGAGGTGATGCACACGGAAAGTTGGCAAGACAGGAGATTCAATTTATACATTACCATTTTTCTGAAGACAAGGGCCTTTCCTCTTTTTGCCTGTGAGCATATAGTACATATTCAAAAAATGGCTCTGGTCTGACTGAGGGAGGGGTCAGGCAACCAAAAAAGGAAGGCGGGACAAGGTAGAAGAGATGCTACGACCTGCACAGCAAGGAACACTAAAGAGACACCTGTCCGTGTTCACTTAGCCAAACCCAAGGCCCTGACAAGATGGATTCTCACTGGGACATCACACTGGCCTCCTGACTCCCCACTATTTCTGACAGTAGGATTCACAGATCTATGTCACCTTGGAGACAGAAGGGGAGCCCTGCCTGGGGAGCCACATTCTGGCAGGCAGGGTCAGAAACACACACATGGGCACTGATGTGCCATCCTGGTCCCCACAGCTTTGCAAGTGCCAGCTCCAAGAATAGCTATTCTCTGAGCTGGAGGGGGATGAGCTAGGCTGCTTCCTGGGAGAAAAGGAGGGAAGGGGCAGGCTCTGAAGACAGAATTGGTCAGGTTCGGGCCGGCCCGTGGCTCACTTTGGGAGAGTGTGGTGCTGATAACATCAAGGCCATGGGTCCGGATCCCTATATAGGGATGGCCGGTTGGCTCACTGGCTGAGTGTGGTGCTGACAACACCAAGCCAAAGGTTAAGATCCCCTTACCGGTCATCTTTAAAAAAAAAAAAAAAAAAGAATTGGTCAGGTTCACAGTGAGCAAGGGCAATCAGATGGCAGAGAGAAATAGGAAAGGAGACAACACACACACAGTGTTGCTCTGGTGTCAGAAAATGTGATTCTACAGACAGAAGTAGACACAAAGCTTCTGAGGCCATGTTGAGGGTGCCATAGGACTCCCATGTTCTGTCTGTGGTCGTGGTATTAGTGGGTGTCAGCCTGGCCAGTCCTGCACCGTGGAAGCTTCACCCTGGACATTCCAATGAGAGACTCTCGCTGTGGGGTGAGGGACAGTAAAGATGGTGAATCTTGAGCAAGCTCTTGGTTATAACGTCTTTTCTTTCCCCTTTCTCTGACAGCTTAACATCCTCGTGGATACAGGCAGCAGTAACTTTGCAGTGGGGGCTGCCCCCCATCCTTTCCTACATCGTTACTACCAGAGGCAGCTGTGAGTCCTGGGGAGAACCTGGGGCGGGAAGCTTTTCCAAGGATCCAGGGCCAAGAAGGGCCAGGGGAAAGGTGCAGGGAGAAAGACTAGATCCTCAAATCCTCTTCCTGCTGGAGAAGGGGCAAGGAAAGGAAAAGGTGACAGTGACAGAGGGGAGAAGAGAGGGCGGTGTGAGAAGGTATAATATGGAAAAGGGTGAGTTGAGAGCAGCCAGGAAGAGCTTCAGTCCTGAGATGGGGCAGCCTCCTGTGGGAAGGAAAGGAGGGAGAGCAGCCCAATAGCCCTGGGGCTCATTCTCTCTGAATGGAAGGCGAGGGGGACTTCATCCCACATCCCCTCAGTGGCTGTTTTCTGACAACACTAGCCAAGTCTAGGCTGAATGGGCCACAGTGACAGCTCCCTTTGCTGTATTCTCACCCAGGGGCCACTTGAGGTGGCTTTTCATAGTTCAAGGACATGAAGGAAAGGGCCTTCCATAAACCTCACTGCCTAGACCAATGTCAGGGACTGAAAGCTAAAATATCTCGGTGTACCACCCAGAGTACCACTAGCTGGATGCAGCCTACTAGTGAAAGGGTGGGTTGAAGTGGGATTTTAAAAGTTAAGGAGGCAGTTAGGGATCTCTCGATGCCCTCTTAGCACAAAAGAAGGAAGAGGAAGTGATGAGAGGATATCTAATGTCTGAGACATCTCTGTGTGTGAAAACATGTGAGTGGAGGCTTAAATCCTATCTTTGGACTTCTAGGCCAGTGCAAAACCCACCTTCCCTGTTTCCTGCCTTCTTTGACCCCTGCCCCTTTAACATACTTATCTAAAGGAAGCAGTCAGGGAGGGGGTACATGCAGGATTCATTCCAGATCCTCATTCCAGTCCCATCACTGCCCCTCACCACACACACAAGCCCTGGTTAGTGGTGTGATTTAACACGTTGGGGGTGTCACACGTTGTGAGCATACTTCACACGGGAGGCGTGTAACACCTACCTGCTCTGCTCAGGTGCCTGTGCAAATCCCTTCTCTAGAAGAACTTACTGTAGAGGTTCCACATTCACCCTGCCTGGCACTTTCTCTACCACTCAGATGGTACCACTGGATTCCAAGGCAACAAGAGAGTCAATGGCTCCTTTTCTCTGGGAGCTTGCTGGAGCTGGGGGGAGGAAGAGATGCCCACTAGCTGTCCCTGCAGCAGCAGCAGGCACAATGCACAAAGACTAGGCTTGTTCCTTGCAGGGCCTGAGCTCAAGATCTAGGAATATGAGCTCTTGAAACAGAAGTGCAAGCCCCAGCAACAGCTCCCCTCATCTATTTGCAAGGCCACTTTACATTCTCTTCTGGGTGATGGGCCTAAGGATGTTCTACTGAGGAGCTTGAAGCCAGATTCTTGAATGCCCTGAGATAAGGTGGCATTTGGGAGTAGGTTTGACATTGGATCCCTATACCAGTTGTGGTTACGCAGTCACACATCTCTGTCTCCTTTCCACAGGTCGAGCACATATCGGGACCTCCGAAAGGGCGTGTACGTGCCCTACACCCAGGGCAAGTGGGAAGGAGAGCTGGGCACTGACCTAGTGAGCATCCCCCATGGCCCCAACGTCACTGTGCGTGCCAACATTGCTGCCATCACTGAATCAGACAAGTTCTTCATCAACGGCTCCAACTGGGAGGGCATCCTGGGGCTGGCCTATGCTGAGATCGCCAGGGTGAGAGGAACAAGGCCTGGCCCTACACTGTCTGCACATTGCATACCGCAGGCTACACAGGGAAGGAGGTGGAAGAGAGAAGAGGAAGGAATTGACTAAAGGAGGAAAATGAATCAGTTTAAATGATTATCTAACAGGGGGATAGGATGGCAGTCTGAATTTCAGCCCTAGAGAGGGCAGAACTAGAGAGAGAGAAGTGATAGGTACAGGAATAGGCTTTGGTTTCTATTTACTCTAAAATTTCTAAGAATAAGACCCCATAAATCTGAAGCAGGTTAGGCATACGGAGATCAAAGATCCTATGAATCTGTGGGCTCAAATCTCAGTACCTCAAGATGGTCTTTCCCAAGGAACACCCCCAAGTTTTTGCTTTTGCCTTCCAGTTTAGGCAGGAAGCTGGCCTGTGCCCTGTTAGGGGTCTCTGTGTGAGGGTTCGCTCCTTGTCTCTTTTTGCCACAGCCCGACGACTCCCTGGAGCCCTTCTTTGACTCTCTGGTAAAGCAGACACACGTTCCCAACCTCTTCTCCCTGCAGCTCTGTGGCGCTGGCTTCCCCCTCAACCAGTCCGAAGTGTTAGCCTCAGTTGGAGGGAGTATGGTGAGTAGGTCCTCAAGGAGGGGAGGTCCTGGCACTGGGAGAGATGGGTGCCATCTGCCCCTCTCCCTTAAGGCTACACAACATTCTTGGCTCCACTACTTAGAATCAAAAGAAAACTCTTTATATTCCCCACCGCTGCTTTTCTTTTTCCATCCTTTTCTTCCTTGCATTATTCCAGGAAGGACTCAAGGTACCTATGGTAAACTTGGAAAAGATCAGAAATGATTACGAAAATTTCAAAAGAAATGAAAATAAGACCTATCGTATTAAGATCATTCAGTCTAATGGTCACAAGACAGAGATGTAAGGAGTTTAAGTCTATTTATTAATTAGGACAATGGTGAGTAGTTCTCCAACAAGCAGAGAAAATAAAACTTAACAGAAACAAATAATCATTCATTCAACATTTATTGTGTCAGTTTAGGTTTATATAACTTTATATCAAGGGCTATGTGATTCTGAAACATTATTAAAAATCCTGGAAAGTCTCTTCCACTGAACACATTTAAGAAACTATAAATCATTTTGGGGCATGATTTGATTAGAGGCAGGAGGATGAAAAAGGTGATCTGCAGAGGGCCTTGCCACCCCAAGAAATTACTGATCTTATTGCTTGGTCTCTGGGTGACTTGCTGTGTTTCTGTGCCAGGACACAGGTATCTACCTCTTTTTCTCCCTAGATCATTGGGGGTATTGACCACTCTTTATACACGGGAAGTCTCTGGTACACACCCATCCGGCGGGAGTGGTATTATGAGGTGATCATTGTGCGGGTGGAGATCAATGGACAAGATCTGAAAATGGACTGCAAGGAGGTAATTAAAATCAAGGGGAAGCCAAGGGGAGGTAAGAGGTTAGGCAAACAGGGTGAGAAGACCCTGGGTCATGAGGTTGGGAGGATGAGGCAGAGGTACTGGGGTGCTGAGCCTAGAACAGTCAGGAGCTTAATGGTCACACAGTAGGACCTGAGGTTTGAGGCTAGAGATTGGCAGAGCACTTTCACAGGGACCACAGGGCTTGCGGGCTAGTGATGAAAAAAGCATGGAACTAGTTCTGATACCTGGACTCTAGTCATTGCCTTGCTTCATGGCCTTGGGCAAGCCGTTTGCCAGGCAGCCTGAGAAGATGTAGTAGACGAAGTGAGGCTTTGAAGTGGGAAAGATCTAGATTTGAATCTGGCTCTGCCATTTACTACCTCTGTGCCCTTAGGCAAGTTACTATTCTGTGTTTCAGATTCCTTATCTGCAAAACAGGTAAAAACAACTTTCCCAGAGATTGTGGTGAAGACCAGAGATAATGTATAAAGTGTTCATCCCTGTGCTTGGCAGTACCCAATAAATAGTAGCAAAACCATTTGGGTATTCCTTACCTAGATTCTTATGTATGTTAAATTAGAATAGAATTTTTTTAAAAAGTACTACCAAAAGTTAAAAGCACTATACAAGGTATTTTTATTTTAAGGATTTCAAGAATGTCTGCCCACCCAAGATAATAAGTTAACACTGAGACTTTTTTAAAAAGTACTACCAAAAGTTAAAAGCACTATACAAGATATTTTTATTTTAAGGATTTCAAGAATGTCTGCCCACCCAAGATAATAAGTTAACACTGAGAGCCTATCTGGGGACACCATTTTAAGTGCTCTAAACATGATAATTTATTTAATCCTTACAATAACACTGTGAGGTAGGTACTATTATTTTAGAGATGAGGGAACTTGTACAAAAGTTAAGTAACTTGCCTAAGGAGGTACACTCATAAAGTGGCAAAGCCAGGATGCCAACCCAGGCAGGACCCCAAAAGTCAGACTCACCCCTCCACCTCTGCCCACCACTTAGCATCAAAAAAGCTTTTGACTCCTCTAACGCTCTCTTCTCCTCTTAGTACAACTACGACAAGAGCATCGTGGACAGTGGCACCACCAACCTTCGTTTGCCCAAGAAAGTGTTTGAAGCTGCAGTCAAGTCCATCAAGGCAGCCTCCTCGGTCAGTGGACTAAGGATGAGGGTACAAGAATGACATGGTGTCAGAGGAAGTCAGTGGGAGTCACATTTCTCAGCAATAGCCAAGATGTCTATACTTAGATCTTTCCACTTAGAGCTCTTTTTTTTTTTTAAAAAAAGATGACCGGTAAGGGGATCTTAACCCTTGACTTGGTGTTGTCAGCACCACGCTCACCCAGTGAGCGAACCGGCCATCCCTATATGGGATCCGAACCCAGGGCCTTGGTGTTATCAGCACCACACTCTCCCGAGTGAGCCACGGGCCGGCCCCATCCACTTAGAGCTCTTAAAAACTTTTCTCTTTTATGGATCTCAGTTTGCTCATCACACAATCCCCTGGTACAAATTTTTGACCTCGGTCTTCCACTCTCTTCCTCTAACCCTTCAGTTGCTGTTTGCTTTTCCCCTCTTTGGATATTTCACTGGAGAAGCAAATAAAGGTCCTAGTCAATGTTATCTGAAAAAGGAAGAGGCGAGATGATGGGAGAGGCTGTCTCCTCACTGTTATCCACTTCTTGCCAACAGACGGAGAAGTTCCCAGACGGTTTCTGGCTAGGAGAACAGCTGGTGTGCTGGCAAGCAGGCACCACCCCCTGGAACATTTTCCCAGTCATCTCACTCTACCTAATGGGTGAGGTCACCAATCAGTCCTTCCGCATCACCATCCTTCCACAGGTATGTCCCCAACCTGAGTCAGTGGGATCCGAGGAAGAGGACAAAGTACATATTGAGAGATAGTGACAGGCATGGCTTCCCAGAACTTGGAAGACAAAATACAGGAATGTCCAGTGGTAAAGGGGTCTTGGGAAACTCAACCCTCAGAGTTCAGGGATGGCAAAGAGAAGAACTACTTAAGGGCAGAGACACCTAGAAGGCAGAGATGGGGTGAAGGATGGAGTAAGGAAGACATACTCTCACCCTGTGATTGCTCACCCCTAGCAATACCTGCGGCCAGTGGAAGACGTGGCCACATCCCAAGACGATTGTTACAAGTTTGCCATCTCACAGTCCTCCACAGGCACTGTTATGGGAGCTGTTATCATGGAGGGCTTCTACGTTGTCTTTGATCGAGCCCGAAAACGAATCGGCTTTGCTGTCAGCACTTGCCATGGTGAGCCAGGGATGAGGGTATGGGGTCAGTCTATCCATATTCTCCCTGTCTGCACTTAGAATACCTGGGCCCTTGTCAGTTGGGGAGGTAGTAATAGTTGCCTCAAGCCAAAGTCAACATATTGTATAAAAGTTAGTGCAGTAATTATACTTTTTTTGTATTGCCTGCCATGGTAACCTTTGCCTGGACTGGTAACCTCTGTTGGGAACACAGAGCAACAAGAGCTACCTAGGCACCTTGGAAAGCTCTAGATGCAAGGGCAGCAGCTGAGCCTACAGTGACCCTGTCAGCTGCCATATGGTGAGGTTGAATGCTACTTCAGAAAGGTGGCAAGTTTTGCAGTTGGAATTCAGCAGTGGCAGGTAAGTTTACTAGTATAAGGGGCTGCCTTTTTGGTCAACTTAGAACTACTGACTTTTAGGTATCATTCCTACTGGATAGATACACAGGGAAGAGTTGCTGCTCCTAGTGACCTGGGAGGGAAACAGGCCTCTACCTAAGCACTGGCTTTCTGGCCTGCTCCTCCATATCTCCAGGGAAGGAGATTCGACAGCCCTGCAAGGGCTAATTTCCAGGTCTCACTACTAGGAAGTTCTTTTTCTTGTATAACCCAAACTTCTCTATGACAATGACAGCTAGCCATTCACATGTGCCTTTTCCCCAGTGCATGATGAGTTCAGGACAGCAGCGGTGGAAGGCCCTTTTGTCACCCCGGACATGGAAGACTGTGGCTACAACATTCCACAGACAGATGAATCAACGCTCATGACCATAGCCTATGTCATGGCTGCCATCTGCGCCCTCTTCATGCTGCCACTCTGCCTCATGGTGTGTCAGTGGCGCTGCCTCCGCTGCCTGCGCCATCAGCACGATGACTTTGCTGATGACATCTCCCTGCTGAAGTGAGGAGGCCCATGGCAGAAAACAGAGATTCCCCTGGACCACATCTGGGTGGTTCACTTTGGTCACAAGGAGGAGACACAGATGGCACCTGTGGCCAGAGCACCTCAGGACCCTCACCCACCCACCAAATGCCTCTGCCTTGACAGAAAAGAAGGAAAAGCAGGCAAGGTGGGTTACAGGCACTGCACCTGTAGGAAAAAGGAGAGGGAAGAAAAAAGCACTCTGGTGGCGGGAATACTCTTGGTCACCTCAAACTTGAGTTGGAAATTTCTGCTGCTTGAAACTTTAGCCCTGAACCTTCACCCACCATCCCTTCAGATTCTCCAACCCACAGTACTCTTCTTTTCTTAGTTCCAGAAGTACTGGTATCATGCCCAGGTTACCCCAGTGTGTGTGTCCCTGTGCTACCCTAGCAGAGAAAGGGCCAATCTCGTTTCCCTGCTGGCCGAAGCCAGTAGGAGAAGGTGCACAGTTTGCTTTTTGCTTTAGAGATAGGGACTGTATGAACAAGCCTAACACTGGTGCAAAGGTTGCCTCTTGAATTAAACAAAAAATAATTAGATTGAATGTTTGTACAAATGGGGGTGGTTGGAAAGAGGAGAACGAGAAGGAGTACAGAGAGAGAGAACAGTTGGGATCAAAGCTAGGAAAGGCAGAAACATAACCACTTGCCAGTCCGTTTTAGACCTCATCTCTAAGACAGAATTCCATCTCGTAAGATGGGTGTTGTTTCCCAATGTTTGCATTTCTGCAGTTGAAGCCTGACCAAAAGTGAGATAGGAAGAAAGGGCTTATCTAGCCAAAGAGCTCTTTTTAGCTCTCTTAAATGAAAAGTGCCCACTAAGAAGTTCCATTTAACAAAGAATTTCTATCTTATTAATTCCACTTGTCTCTACCCAAACACTTTATTCTATAAATGATAGGGAGTGCTGAAATATCCCAATCCTCTAAGCCCCAGGTGCCCTATGGGAGAGCAATTGGATAGCAGGGCTGGGCTCTGCCTTTCTAGTTCACTGGTTCACTCCTTCCCCCAAATCCCTATTCCTCTAAAGCTTTGCAGCTGAGGTGCTAGAAGGAATAGACAGGAGACCTCTCCTACCCAATCCTTGAAAGCCTGAAGAATCCTGAAGATTCATTCATGTATAGGGTTGACGCTCCCTATACCTCTGCCTGGATTTCTTCCTGTTCAGCTGCAAGGAGTGGTGAAGATCTTTACATAATAGATATAGAGCAGTTTCATTGCCTTCTCACCCTCTCTAATGGCCCCTCCATTTATTCGACTAAGGCATCACACAGTGGCATTAGTATTATACTAAGAGGGTCGGAAACACAGGGCTTTCTGGTTCTAACATCATTGCATTTGGTATCAAGGTTGCCTGGAGAAAGGATGGCAGCGTCAGGGCTTCCTTATTTCTGTCACCACAATAGCCACTTGATGGAGGCCATCTTTTTTCCCTATACTGCTCTCTAATCTCCACTCCTAATAGTACATGGATACCCAGGCTGGTTCTTGGGCTAGGTAGTGGGGACCATTACCTCCCTATCAGTTCTAACACAGTAGACTATGGTACCAGTGTTGGTGGGAAGAGCTGAACTTTCGTGGTATACCCACTGGCCACATCCTATTTCTATCTGGTCAACACAATGCTTCCAGGTATGGGATGTGCCGAGTGTGGAATCACCTGATAAGGGAGAGGGATATACAAGGAAGTCCTCTGGAGTTCTTGGCCTCTGCCAGCTGCCCACAAGCCATAAACCAATAAAACAAATACTGAGTCAGTTTTTTTATCTGGGTTTTCTTCATTGTCACTGCACTTGGTGCTGCTTTGGCTGACTGGGAACATCCTATAATTACAAAGACTGACAGGAAGACTTGAGATTGTCCACTTCCAGCTCAGAACTTACTGTGTAAATAAACTTCCAGAATTGCTACCGTGGCATTGAAATAAAAATGCCACATTCTGCTTTATAATTTCTATCCACAATGGGGAAAACTGGCTTTTTCCCAGCTATTTCTAAGGCAAAAATCTCAACCTCTTCATTAGGAAGTCATTGTCCTATTATTTTTTTAAGAGAATACTTGCATTATTTTTCTTTGTACAGTTACTTCCTTTCTACCCTGAAACTATGAACTCTAAGTGTAAAAAAAAAAATCTTGACAACAGATCCTTGCTTGTAAAAATATGTATCATATATCTCTGTTTTTAAATTCTACTCCTGAAAAGTGACTGTCCCGTCTTCACTCACTGCATTTGGGGCCTTTCCCATTGGTCTGCATGGTTTTTACCATTGTAGGCCAGTGGGCAGAGGGAGAAAGGAGAACAGGGGTGGCCAAAACTTGAGTGTTGCTTTCTGACTGATCCTGAACAAGAGAGAGAGAAGAGCAACGATGAGGCCCCAGCTCCCACACACAACTCACCAAAAACACTTACCCTCCTGCTACAGATGACTTTCCAGGGGCTTTCACTGAGAAGCAATTAAGACCCCCTACTCACACCCTCCTTTCTTCTCTCTACTCCTTTGGCTTAAAAGATTTTTGGAAAAGAAACAATATATATATATACACACACATATATATGTGTGTGTGTATATATATATATATTTTTTTTTTTTTTAAAAGATGACTGGTAAAGGGATCTTAACCCTTGACTTGGTGGTGTCAGCACCATTATATATATGTGTGTGTGTATATATATATATATATATATTTTTTTTAAAAGATGACTGGTAAAGGGATCTTAACCCTTGACTTGGTGGTGTCAGCACCATGCTCCCCCAAGTGAGCTAACTGGCCATCTCTATATAGGGATCTGAACCTTGGCCTTGGTGTTACCAGCACCACACTCTCCCAAGTGAGCCACAGGTCGGCCCTGAAACAATATTCTTTATACCATTTCCAATCTGTAAATTTTCGGGGGATACTGAAAAATACTGCAAGTGGCCCAAAGCTGCTGCAAAGTTGAGGGGAGAGAAAAATCTTAAGAAAAGAGTCCCCCAAATGAAAAGAATAAAGAAACTGATCTTCCATTCTGCCACCTTTCCTGTTCATGACAGCTACCAAACTGGAGACAGTAATATTTCATTAATCAAAGAAAGTGGGTCATCTGACCTCTAAAGAGTCGAGTACTCAGGCCATTTCAATCACCCTACAAGATGCCAAGGAGATATCAGGAAGTCGAGGTCCCTGGAAGTCCAGCTCTTTAAAGTGATGCTAGTCAATAAACCCGAGCAGGTATGGCAAGAAAAAAGAGAAAGAATTTGTCCATGAGCTGAAAGGCAAGGATGAAAAACAAAGAAGGAAACTAATAACAAAAACAGAGAGGAGAGAATTTACTTGGGTCTGAAAGGAAAAGTCTTTGTCACCTTGGTATGTACTGCTAGTACCAGTAAGCATTTCCAGGTCCCAGACTAGAACAAATTTAATTGTGGGTAATATGATGTCCTTCCTCTGGAGCCTTTTTGTGTGTGTGTATGATTAACAATTGGTTTTTACCTGTTTAATTCCAAAAGAGAAGGAAGATGAAGCCATTCCCCATGGGTGTAAACACAAAAGGATAGGAAAAGATTCAAAGCTCTAATAGAGTCACAGCTTTCCCAGGTATAAAACCTAAATAAGCAGAGGTGAAAAAATGATCTAATATCAGATAGCTATCCACAGAACAAATGATTTATAAAGTTGAAATCCAACATCCTTTCTTAATATCACTTTGGTCTCCATTTTCCCCAGGATAGGAAACATGTCCCCCATAACTTTCTTCCTTCAAAAATTAAAACCTAGCATCCCAAGGTCATTCTGCAAATAATTTTGCACAGACATCACCTCACCCCAGTGCCTGTCTGGAGCTCACCCAAGGTCAACAAACAACTAGGTTGTGAACCAACTGCCTTAACCTTCATGGGGGAGGGGGGTTAGCTAGACTAGAAGGCCAGAAGTGAATGGGAAGGAATGAGGACTTCACAAGTTAGCCTTGAAGTCAGAGCTTGATTAGTTGCCAGATCAGTGTGGCAGCAAGTGATGGCTTGGCCCAGGAAAAATCTATGGGTTGTGCTAATTTCTACCCAGGAAATTGGGTGGACCAAAGCATGTGGGAGGTGTGGGGGAAATGGGACCTGTTATGTTGTTATTCTCGGACTGTGAATTGATGTAAAACAATATTCTGTAAACCTAATGTCTATGTTTAACTAGTGAGCGTTAACACAGTAAAATATTCAATGAAAAGTCAAACTATTAGGGTTACATTTTTTTCCTCAAATCAGTCTCATTTTATCCATTTGGAATAGAGTAGCTAGAATAATACCGAGGCTTCCAGAGGCTTTCAGTAAGCAAGGCATCTGGTTGGACAGCGGGTGAGCACCAGGCTTCAAATCTGCATACATGAGCCTTAAAAAAATGGGACTAGATGCTGAGCCAAACCAAAGCAGGATGGCCTTAGAGCAACAGCAGCTTCCTAGATGGTTTTTATAATGTATTTGAAAACAGCTCTAGGCAGGGATATCATAATTTCAAGGCCAAACTAAACATCTTCCCTACAATCTGCATCCCCCAGAGGAATTGCAAGATGAGGGGGAACAGACTATTTCTGCATAATATACATACTTTCATTACGAACATTTGAATACAGACTTTCTATACACACATTACCTATATAATAAAAATGTACATGGCATGAGTATATGTCACTGTATAAATATAGAGTTTTAGAAATCTGGAACCCGCACTTCCTGTTCACATCAGTTTCTCCTCTTCTTCCTTCCCAGTCAGGTCCGTCATTTAAGAGTTGGACAAAAGGGACAAGTATCATTTGTGTTGGTCTGGGCCCAGAATTTGATACACTGGAAAGAAAAAAAGACACACCTCAGTTTATCTAGAAAGATGAAGGGAAGGAAGGAAAGAGTGCCATTAAGGTTTAACAAGGTCTAGGTCAGAAAAATTTACTGCAGGGGACTAGAAGGACTATTTCAGTGGCTCTTATGCCCAAAAGAATCTTCAGAACAGGTGAACCTGTCCCTTTGCAAGGAATATTATCAGATAATGAGAGTGTTCATGAAGCTGCTTTTCGTTGAGTGTCTAGTGTGACTTGCTCCCTCTTCTGATCATTCATTTAGCTTGAGATGAGCTTCCATCTCCTAATACCTCAGATCTTATTCAAGACTTTTTCCTACTAAGAATTTAGATGTAAATTCAGTTTCTACCTCTTGGAAAAACAAAATGAACAAAACAAAACAATACAGTTAAGAAGGAATCATCCCTGCTGCTAAGAGACTTAACTTCTGCCTGGGAACATAACAGAATAGGAATGACTTGTCAGTCTGTGAAGATAATCTCTAACAGGCAGGCCTTTAAGCTATTCTGTTAATGGAGTTACTAATCTCATACTCAGGTTTGCTACATTTGAAACAACGGTTATATATGTGGGATTATCTCTTACTGTCAATTTTTCAAGAAAGTGACTTAGTGCACCAGTATGAACTGCTTATCCAGTCCCCCAAAGGAAATGTGTAAAAAGAAACTGGGAGATGAGATCTTAGCTACAGTATTCCGAATTCTGCTGATATTTAAGCCATAATTTACTGAAAACATGACTAGGTGTTAATGATGAGCATCAACACATTAAAATGTTCAAGAAAATTTATCTTAGTTGTTAGAAAAAAAAGTAGAAAATGAGGAAGGTGTGTACTACCCACCTCCTTGTGCAACACATGGGTACACGCCATTGGATGAAGCTCACTGGGTTGGACAAGTTTCTGGCACATTAGACACAGCTTACAGGTGGCTGGAGCCTGCAGAACAGACGAGACATGGTCAAAAGGTAAGGAAGCTCTGGGCTCCTTGCCTTTTATGCCCATGATACCATCTATTATTTCCATGTAGCAAAAAGATTTTACATCAAAAGAAATAAAAGTCCAAATACAGATTCTTGTCTAAAGTACTTGCATTTTTCCAGTAGAGCTGCAAACAACCAGCTGACGAGATGATAGTTTCTTCCTGCACTCCACCTGTAAACTCACTCCCTCCCCACCTCCAGCTTCTCTATATCCCAGTGTTCAAAGAAAAAAGTCTTACATGTGAAGACCTTCCAGGATATGAAACTTGGGCAGAAGGCAAGAACATGGGGGTACTGATTTGGGCCAGTGGAGCAGGGAACAAGGCTCGGATCCGACCAAGTGGCTGTGGGTAGAAACATTGTCACAGTAAGGGAAGAGAGTCTGAGTAACAGAGCATGTAACAAGAAGAAATCATTTATTTCCTAGTTCAGCAAAGGAAGAAAGCAGACTAGATATTCCTGGCTGCAACTTCTTCCCACCCCAAATTTTTCTGAAAACTGCCTCTTCCCCAACATCTCAGTAGGCCTAAGTTTTCTCCCAAGTAACTTTTCTTACCTGAGTACTTGCTGCCACCCGCTCATGTTCTGCCAGTCGTGCAGCTACCAACTGGATCAGTTCCTCCATGGTCAGGCCTGCCATGGTGGTACGAGCTGTCTTGATTTGCTGAAGAATGTTGGTCATTTGGGCCCTAAGAAAGAAAAATGTTGAGGGAGAGAAATTCTATGCTATACCCATGGAGAACATCCATGAAATCTCCCCTATTTTAACCCATACGCATTTCTCTGGCAAAAATATTTTAACTAATCCTTAAGGATACTTACTTATTGCACTGTGGGAACCGAGTGAGCAGCTTCTCCAGGATCTTCTCCAGTTTGTCTACTGGTTGGGGCCGGGGAGTTTCAGTAGAAGCCTTAACACCGCCCAAGCCTGGGGGAGGCGGGATGGAGGCGGCAGGGGGCATGTGTGGACCGTGGGGGCTGACAAGGGAACCCAAGCCAGGGCTATTTCTCCCATGGGAGCCAGGAAGGGGTGGGGAAGGCTGGTTGGGCTGGGAAAGGGCAGTGTTCAGGATTGGGAAAGACAAGGAACGGGGATCTGCACTGGGCATAACCATGGGCATTGTGACCTGCCCAATGGAGAAGGGCATCCGAGGAGCCAGAGAGGGACTGGGTTGAAACACCTGAAGCATGAAGTCTGTCTGCAGAGGGGAAGAGGTAGAGGATGAGAAAAAGAAAGAAAAATAAATTTTATTTATTTTTATTTTTTCCATGTGTCCAAGACATGAACCAGGCATGGGCACAGACCAAAAGCCAAGCTGGGATAAACAAGGTGTTGCTCTGTCCCTGCTGATATGAGATGGACACTGCCACCTAGATGCCACTCTACCCAGGTCAGGGACAAGAAAAAGAAATTTTAGGAAACGGGAGTAAAAACCAAGGAGCAACTCTTGCACTGAATAGGGATGGTCCCGATATCTTCATAAAAAGAATAACTAGAAGACTCTGACTCTGCCACAGAAAGGTGGACTCCCCGGGGCCGGCCTGGTGGCGCACTGCTACAGTGCGCCGATTGGGAGCGCAGTGGCGCTCCCGCCGAGGGTTCGGATCCCACATACAGACCGGTTCCCGCTCACTGGCTGAGCGAGGTGCGGGTGTTGCGATCCCGTTGCCGGTCCCGGTCCGGTACGGGCGCAACACCGAGGGTTGCGATCCGTTGCCGGTCACGAAAAAAGACAAAAAGGAAAAAAAAAAAAAAAAGAAAGGTGGACTCCCCAAAGCTAGCTCTCTTACCTCTGACGGGGGTGGAGGCAAAGTGGGAGTAGGGATTTGAGGAAGGCTGCTCAGCTTGGCTCCATTTCTCACCAGCTGGATATGACTATTAAATTGGTCCTAGAAAAAGAAAAGAAAGGATTATCATTTGCTGCTGAGCTGAGTGAGCCTCTCCAGAAAGAGGACACCATCCACTGTCAGGAAAACAAGGAGAGTGGTAGAATAGGCTCTAAGCAGCAATGCAGAAGGTTACCTCCCTATTGCCAGAACTGTTTAAGTATGAACTAATACTGACTGAATGATTAATATACTTAATTATTAATATACTTACCCGAACATTCTTTTTCATTATCCGAACTCCATTCAGTCTTGTCTCCCATTCCTGTTTGGAACGAACAGTCTCCAGTGTTGGGGGAGTTGATCTTTCAAGAAACCAATAGGAATTTACATAATTAAAGAAAGCACAATTCCTAATTCTCTGAGAGCAAAACAGTAGCTGACCATTAGGGCTTGAGAGAAGAGGCTGGAGCAGGTTCAGGAGAGGCCCAAGATTCTAAGTCCTTTGCCTCACTTTAACTCCATCATCTTTTAAGCCAGGAATTCAAAAAAGAGGACCAACCACAGAGAGAGGGTTCCTGTCTGCCTGGAAATGCCACAGGGTCTCCACATTCCATGGCAGTAAGAGAAGTGACTTGATAAGAAACAAATTTCCAAAGACCATTGTTATGCTTTGACAGCTTAATAGATACTGTTCAAAGTAATTACTATAAAAAGTACAAAATCCTAAATCTATAAAAGGGAAGAGTTAGAGAGTGATGAAGTTTAGAATGTGGGAAGAGAAATCACTGAGCAATTACTATTGCACAGACAGAGACGGCTTCAAAAACGTGAAAACAAGAACAAACAGAGAAACAGACTGAAGGACCATTAAAACTCTAGAATGGGAAGGTACTTACTTGAGGTAAGTAAGGTGCAATTCTGCCTCTTTTTCTGCTTCTTCTAGTTTCAATACCAGTAACTCTTTCCGGCTCTCTAGTGATAAGATCTAAGGAAACCACACACACACACACACACACAATATTAATTTTACAGACACAAAGCTACCCCTAGATAGTTAAATGCTTATGGGCTCTTCTAATACTATACCAAACCTATATACCACCTGGAAGCCCAAAATTAAGGCTCTCAAGATATCAGCTCTTCTCACCTCTGCCTTCCAGGCCCGTTCTGTCTCTTCCATAATGTTCCTATTTATTTCACCATCCTGATTCTTAAGTCTATCCAGTTCCATTTCCCACACCTCTCTGTAAGATAAGAAACCAAAAACAAGACTAAGGGAAGAAAGATAAGTTTGCTGAGGGACACCAAAGCAAAAGTAAAACCCAAAATTGGTCTGCCAAGTTACAGGAAGTCTTACTTTAAGTATTAACTACAGATACAGGAAAAAAAAGTTTAACGTGATTTGCAATTGTATGAAAGCCCTATACTTGAAAGTAAAATGTTCACATCTCTATGCACTAAAATAAGGTTATCTGCAGCAGGAAAAAGAATATATCAGAATCAAAACCCTCCACTGAAGGCAGAATGCTCTTCTATGTTTAAGGGAGCTCAAAATTATTATGACATTCCTCTTATTCCCCAACTCGTCTTTTAGTATGGGTACTGAAGAATGCAGAAGCAAGCGCAGGAGTCCACTTAATATTCATCTCTAATACAGCAATCACTCATTCACTACCAAGCACACAGACACTGGCATACTGATTTTCACATATGTTTTCTTTATACCTCAGGACTTTCCATTTTCATCAGTTTCCCCACTTCTTACATGCTCTCCAACCCCCACTCCCATCCGCATCTGTAGAGTATAATATTCACACTCAGGATTAGAGTGACTAACTGTCCCGGTTTGCCCAGTACTGAGGGATTTCCCAGGATGTCAGACTTTCGGTGCTAAAATTGGGACAGTTGATTACCCTGCTCAGGAATGAAAAGGCCATTAAGGAACAGAGGCACAAAAGAATTTCCTTATATTACACTTGATCGTAATAAGTTTTATAACTGAACACATGAATTACCCAGATCAGTGGACAGAAGAGTATGAAAATATTTAAATTATTTTCACTGGGCCGGCCCGTGGCTCACTCGGGAGAGTGCGGTGCTGATAACACCAAGGCCCCGGGTTCGGATCCCATATAGGGATGGCCGGTTCGCTCACTGGCTGAGCTTGGTGCTGACAACACCAAGTCAAGGGTTAAGATCCCCTTACCGGTCATCTTTAAAAAAATAAAATAAAATAAAAATAAAAAAAAAATAAACCTAACATGATTTAAATGGAAAAGCTTGGAAAGTTACATCTTAATAGAAATGTTCCCATTACTCTTCAGCGAGATTAACAATTTTTTATTCCTTTTCTGTTTTTTCTTTCTTTTTTTTTTTTTTTAAAAGATGACCGGTAAGGGGATCTTAACCCTTGACTTGGTGTTGTCAGCACCACGCTCAGCCAGTGAGTGAACCGGCCATCCCTATATGGGATCCAAACCCGGGGCCTTGGTGTTATCAGCACCGCACTCTCCCGAGTGAGCCACGGGCCGGCCCCCTTTTCTGTTTTTTCAATAATGTTATATACAAAGGTACTTCAAAAAGTTCATGCAAAGATTTGTATTATCTCTTAATTCTATTTTTCCACGAACTTTTGAAGTATCCTCATATACAAAAGGGAGCAATTCACATAACAGAAGCTTCTAAGGCCCCTTCCACTCACATATTCTTGCTTTTGACCCAATTTTCCACACATCCTTGTTCTCTATTTCATAGTTATGGGGGTGTGTGTGTTACAAACACATTCATTCATTCATTCATTCACTAACATTAAGTTTGCCCTCTACTGACCAGGTCTATTCATCTAACAGAAATGAGTAGGTAGTCATTTTCTTCCTTAATTTCCATGTACTGTCCTCCCAAAATTAACTTTTAGAATTCTCTAATAGTTCTGTAGACAAAGGTTTTACAGATAGCTGTGTTTTCCTGCTACAACACATTCCTCAAGTTCCAAAATATATGAAGAGTCAGAATCCTCGTACCATAAGAATATGTGAAGTACACTGCAGAGTCAACCAATGATCCATCTGGCTTATTATTCACTCTTTCGCAATAGGATAATTGCAGGAAAACAGGACAGTTGCCTTCTGTGATTGATGTTATCCTTGGAGATTACAGATGCTCACCAAACATCTCTAACTTTCATGAAATACATTTGTCAACTACAAATATACACATATCAGAAAAATCCTCTTATGGCTAATGGGGACATTCCACGTATTCACACACACAAATAAATCTTTTCCTTTGAACATTTGGCCATATTAACCTTATTGTGATCAAACAAGACAAAAGAAACTACTAGCAACCACAACAAAAATGGTTAAGGAATTTTTGAACATAGTTATAAAAGTACTCAGCCTTATCATATGTTAACTAGCTTGTAAGATATGCATCAGATTTCACTTTACTAAAGGGTACTAGCTTTAATCCATGATAGGAAAAAAAAATCAGTTCCCTACAGTAGTTTTAAAAAAAAAAAAAAAAAAAAAGGC